ATGTGCCACTCTGAGCAGGTAGAAATATATCACAATCTCTTCAGTCCCTGCTCTTGTGAATGGGTTGTTGAGGTCCATTGAGGATGCTGCTTTTGAGTCATCTCCACTGAAGTTTTTTTTCAATTCTCTGCAACAGAGCAGCTTCAAAGCCAATGGAAAGGGGTTATTGTTGAGCAAGTACCAAGCCAAGTGATTCTTACCTCTGCCCTGGCCACAAGATTCAGAAGGCTGAAGTTTCTGACAACTGAACAGATTATAAATGCACAAGGGCAAAAACAGTTGCCTGCTGTGAAAAGGGAGATGGTGCAACAGCTGTAAACATCCACATCAACCATAACTACAACTACTGCATCTTTAAAGTCTGTCTCTTTGGATGACTGTCAAGGCAGCGGTCACGAAAATAGAGAATAGAGGGGGCAACCGTAGGACATAAAACAGACAAGTTAGGAAGGGAGTTCAGGTTTACTTTAGGATGGCCCCTGCCAAGGACTGAAACCTTTCACATTGGTAAAGAGCTAATAAATCTATATATACCACCTTTGTGAAATTGTCAAAATTCTACTTCTGCATCCCAGGCAACTCAACATCTGAACATCTCTTGAAAAGAGAGCCAGTCTCAGCCAGGAACTTGTGGACAAGTTGACATATTTACATTTTAATAAAAAATTTCTGCAAGAATGAATAACCGTAGAGTTGAGCGGACACCTGGATGTTCGGGTTCGGCCAAACTTTGAAAAAAAGTCCGGGTTCGTGATCGAACTTGAACTCGAACCCCATTGAAGTCAATGGGGACCAGAACTTTTGGCAACAAAAATGCCTCTAAAAAAACTCCTGGAAAGGGCTAGAGTGCTGCAAAAGGAAGTAAAATGGGGGTATGAGTAGGACAAGTGCCCTGCAAACAAATGCGGATAGGGAAATCACATAAATAACATAAAAATTAAAAAATACAGCTGAGCCATAAAATACCACTAGATGGAATCTTTGTGTTTAGCTTTGGAAGAACATAAATCAAAATCTAAAGCATGGCTGTCAGGAGGATCACCAGAATTATCCATTTGAGAGAGGGTTGGAGTGCAGGGTTTTCTCTTTCATTGTTCAAACTGAGCTCAATTCCTGATGCAAGGAGAAAAGGCCTTCACAAGCCTCTGCTATTGTGTACATAGTTTATACTAAGTGACCCATAGGTTGAGGAGGCGGTGACTGTGGCGTTGTAGGTGGAAGCATAATTTTTTTTTAAATTATTTTATTTTTATTGGGGTAGCCCCCAAAATATTGGGACATACAAAAAAAGAAACATTTGCGGCCTGCGGTGCATTTCTTGCATTCCTGATGCATGGAGAAAAGGCCTCTGCTATTGTGTACATAGTTTATACTAAGTGACTGATCCATAGGTTGAGGAGGCGGTGACGGTGGAAGCGGCGGTGGAGGAGGAGGAAGCCTACTATATATATATATATATATATATATATATATATATATTTGTGTTGGGTGCTTAAGATAGTACAGTGTGAAATACCATGAATAAGCGTAGGATAATAAAAGGAGCAAGTCGGTTGTGGTGTGCCGAAACCGACGATGAGGTAGGCCTGAGAAAGAACTGGGGAAAAATTAAGTAATCAAATGTATTTAACAGACAACCAATACATATACATTTTATCAACCAGACATGTTTATGAAAGCATCCCTTAATTCTTGTACTGGGTTCGGTATGTACCGTGAGTAAGCGGATGACTTCCAGCGCCCCAGTGTTTTGATAACATGAGTTGGGATGTTGACACTGGAGGCTGTGGACGCGGCTCCTATACGAAAGGAGTGTCCTGAGTATTTGTTTGCATTGAGGCCCAGTTGTGTGAGCAAGGACCTGACGTAGGTTATGAAGGTTGTAGAGGTGAGTTCTGCACCTTGCAGTTGTAATAACGGTTGCGAGGGCAGTAAGTGATGGTGCTGTATGTAGGCATCAAGAACCTTGACAGGACACCATCTGTTGTGCGTGGGATAGTACGGAATGTTTACAGGTATGTGCTGACTGGTTTTGGAGTGAGGTAAAGACAGGATGTAATGATCCATATGTTTTGTCAAGTGGGAATAGAGGAGGAATGGAGTGGTTTGGGTCGTGGAGGTTGTAGTGAATTCTCTAGGTCGTAGAAATCCATAGAATGCGATGTATATTGCTGTTTTTATGGTTGAATTTGTATTAGTGTCAAACGGTTTTAAGTCAAATAGGTTAGATAATGCTTTGAAGATATGGTTATCTATGGGTAGCCTCTGGGCCATATGTGTGGGTTCTGATTTTTGAATACCTCTGAGTATGGTCTTAATTTGGTGAGAGGCCATGAAACTGTTGTTATTTGGGTGTAAGATTAGCATGTGGTGTTGTATGACATTTTGAGTTTAAGGTGGCAAAAGGAAGCAAACCCCAAAAAAGATGTCATAACAAACGGTTGTATGATGTTATGTTCTAAAAGGAATCGTTTGAATAGTGTGAAAGCCCTGCTGTATGTTTTGTTTGTATTGTTTGAAAGTGCCAATTGGGACAATGTCCTGCTATGCTGCATGATGACGTCTAGTCCAGTATGAGTTGTTGAAATGTTGGAGTGATGGTGGCTGTGGGTGCTGCTGACGGGAGTGCTTGATGGAACTCCTGAAATTTAAAGCGAGACAAATTGTCAGCAGCCGTGTTATATACACCTGGCACATGGAAACAACATAGGAAGAAATTATGACAAGCTGCCAACCAAGTGAGTTTCCTCAGAAATCTCATAATCGTAAGAGATTTGGAACAACCTTTGTTGATGATGTGACAGGTTGCCTGGTTGTCTGAGTAACAACGCACTGGCGTATTAGCCCATAAATGACCCCACGCTACGGCAGACGCCACTATGGGGTAGATCTCAAAAAGAGCTGAGGTAGTGGAAAAACCTTCCAAATCCTGAACTGCTGAAGGCCAGTTGCCCCAAAGCCATTCGTTCCCAAAAATTGCTGCAAAACCAGTGGTAGATGCCGCATCTGACCAAATGGTAGGAGATGATTCAGTCAATTGAGGGAGAAACATACTTTTACCATTCCAAGTGGTTAAAAATCTCTTCCACATGTTTAGATCTGCCGTAGCTTGGGCATCTAAGGACAACCTGTGCGTGTCATGTAGAAAAAGTGGGAAAAGATGCAATAGTCGTGAAATAAAGGAGCGGCCCTGAGGTATGATGCGCATTGCAAAATTTAGTGACCCCAGCAGGGACTGTAGTTCTTTGCGGTTGCAAGTGCCGAGCTGTAGGTAGTTGTTTATGTAAGTGAGAATATTCTCTATCTTATCGTAAGGTAGGCTTGCTTGCATTGTGGCAGAGTCTAATTGGATACCCAGAAAAGTGATAACCGTGTCTGGCCCTTCTGTTTTCTTTGGGGAGATGGGTACACCTAGTTGCTCAAACAGCTTAGTGGTAGCTTGGAGACTAGTGGGAGGTGAAGTATTCTCCTCGACCAGTAGGAAATCGTCCAAGTAATGTAATACCGTAGGGCATCCGGCTATGTTCAATAGTAACCAGCATAATGCTTCAGCAAATGTGTCGAAAATAGCTGGGCTACTTTTGGACCCAAAAGTTAACCGGGAGAAAAAATTGTAGTTCCCAGACCACTTGATGCCATGCAGGTGCCACAGTGTGGGGTGGATAGGGAGTAATTTGAAGGCGTTAGTAATGTTGGTCTTACTGAGCCAGGCTCCAACCCCTGCTTGTATGATAGCTGTAATGGCGTGATCTATGGTGGTGTATTGCAGAGAGAATTCCTCAGAGGGTATAAGGGAATTAAGACTGGGGTTGGCCGATGAGTGGGGAGCCGATAAGTCAATGATGAGTCTCTGTTTTTGGGAAGATTTCCCTGTGACAATACCAATAGGGTTGGTGCGCCATTCTATGAATGGAGGAGTTCTAAAAGGCCCCAATACAAAGCCCTCATCCACTTCTTGGGCTATGAGGGTGTCAACCACTGTGGGGTTGTGTTGGGCGGATTGTAGGTTAGGGCATTCCAGAGTTCCGGCTGGTATGTGTAGGATACCTGTGTGGAAGCCTTCTGTTAAACCAGAAATAAGAAAGTCTACCAGGTGTCTAGATGGGTGCTGAGACATCAATGCTGTGAATACTGGCATATTAATGGACGTAAGGTAAGGCTTGGAATACATTTTTTGGACACATGGTCTTTGCATGTGCCCTAAAACATTTTGAACAGACATGCAATAGTCTACATCCACTGTAATTACAAGACCCAACATTGAAATTATTACATATCTGGGACTTGCCCAGAAACTTGATTGGGCGTCCCAATTTGTCTTTTGAAAATTTCCCTGGATCCCCAGAGGAACTAGCTCCTTGCGTGGAGGCATGTCCGTCTGCCGTGTTGGGACAAAAATTAGTAGTATGGGCTGTGGAGGAGCAGTATGCACAAGCTGGTGTTCTTAGACCTGCAAAGTGTCTGCAAAATAAGACGGTATCAATCCTTCCCCAGTTGGATCGTGTTCCGTACTGGGAGAAGGCTCCAGCCACTTTTGCAGAAAAAGACCTATGGTAG